ACCTGGGGAATTCACAGCTGCAGGAGGCAGGGGCAGCCATGGGCTTGGGTGGCTTTGGAAGGGGAGTAGCCCATCTGGGGAGGAGCAGGGAGCGAGGTGTTGGGTTGCCCCATCTGGAAAGCCTGCAGGCTCGTAGTCGCCACTGTCGGAACCCAAATGCTGGGTGGAATGGAGCATTGTCTGACCCAGCAGAACCTCCCACAAGTCCCGTGAGCAAAACTCTGCCCATCTGTGACCAAGGAGGTCAAGGGACGGCTTGGGAATGTCTCCAAAACTACCCCACTTCAAGGAAGGGCTCCAGGTTCCAAGTCCCTTTCGGCCGAGAAACCTTGGCTGGCCCTGCATGCTGGGCTCCCATGAGCTCGCTTCTTGCCCTCGGCCTCCAAAACACCAGCCCGTCTCTTTACAATGCTGATCTTTGTTGGCACTTTGCAGCTGCCAAGACAGAGCAACTCTAAAACCTCAAGTGAGTTGCAGGATTAGCCTCTGCCCATGCTAAGAATGCTGAAGTCAAACTGGGGATGTCTCCCCAAAGTCCTTCCCTCTCGGTGACCCCGTGGGCTCCACCCTCAGGGTGGCTCTTGGTGGTGCAGGCAAGCCCCACACAAGCCCTCTAGCCAGGTGGCTTGTCCCTCCCGAGGCCCCGTCATGGGGTTAGGAACCGGGCAAGGCACTGGCGCCCCCTCCTCTTCCAGGATCTCTCCCAAAACGGTCCTGGCCAGCTTCAGAGGCCGCTGCCTCTCCTTGGGCTTCCTGGACGCCTGTCTCCGTGTCCTCAAGGGCTTGGTCTTCAGAACCCCAGTTGGGATGACTCCTGGCTGCCCGACAGGCTCACTCGCCACGCGGACTGGCACCTAATGTCACACGCCTTCCCGCTCTCTCCCAGGGTGCCATCGGCAAAGCCATCTCCCAGCTCTGCCGCATTCTGCCAGCAGCCATCGCGGGGATGTGCCAGTGCCTGATGGAGAGATACACCGAGATCATTGTGGACATGCTAGTGGCGAAGCTGGGGCCCAGCCTCATCTGTGGGATGCTATTCATGTGTGCGACCGAGGAAAACTGTGGCCCAGTGCAGCCCGGCCCAGGAGGGCAGCATCCAGGTGGTTTCTGAGGCAGGCCCGGGGCAGGGCATACCCCGACACCCGCACGCGCCGAGCAAGCTTACCCACGACGCCTCCCTCTCCTCCCCATACCTGCTGCCTGCCCTCCTCCCTGTAGGCACAGAGCGTCCTGAGGGGCGTGAAGGCCCACTGGGCAGGGGCAGGCATGAACAGCAGGCGGGCCACCATCCCGCAGCCAAGACCGAAAGGGCCACCTGCACCAGCATCTGATGCTGGTGGGGACAAAGGCGCCGCGCCGGCCTGCTCTCGCTGCACCTGGCACGCTGTGGCTGCCTGTCCAGGGAGGGAGGGGATGCACGAGTCCTGCCAACGTGGCTGCCCAGTGCCTGTGCTGCCTCCCTTCCCCTCTGGGCTCCCGAGGGAGCTCTCCCCCTTTGCTCCTGGGTTTCAGCCCTGCCGGGATCACTCCGAGAAGGGAGACAACCACTGACTTCTCTCTGGCAACCGCAGGGCTTGTTGTGAGCCCGCTCGCTGCTCAGAGGGAGGGGAGAGCTGCCATCGCTGCAGCGCCCCTGGAGTTCCTTTGTCCCCTGCCCCTGGGATGAACAAAGCCAGCTTCTGGGCTGGAGAACCAGTGGGGGGGGGTGGGGAGAAGAGCACCCTCCCCAGCACAGGGGCCCTGCCGGCTTCGTGGGGCAATCCGCATCTCCCAGTCGGCTGGGGCAGCGAAGGGTGGCTCAAAAAGCAAGCTGAGGTCACCTGCGACTGGGAGCAGCTGGCTGCCCCACGGGAAAGCTGGAAAGAGGAAAGGGTGCCTTTCCAGGGCAGGGGGAGGGCAGAAGGATCAGGCCACCCCGCAGACAGGCGCATGTGGGGCAGGCCTCGCTCCAGCCGCAGCAATGGACGGTCTGTGCTCCTCTCCGCAGAGCTCCCCCAGGTGGTGCTCCCCGTGCCTGCCGACGCCTGCCGGGCCTGCCTCGGACTGACCAGGCATGCCCAGGTGGCCCTTGGGCGAAACCGCACCGAGGCTGCTGCGGAGGCCGCCCTGCTCAGCGCCTGCAGCAGTGCCTTTCTGGACGGGCAGCAGGCGAGTGCCTTGCGGGGGGAAGGAGGGGCAGCCGTGCCTTTCACCCAGCCGGTGACAGGGGCCAACTCGAGCACGGGCACCATGGGACGGAGCACAACTCGGGCCAGGGAGCTGGCCCCCAAGGCACCCCTGGGGCGAGCCTCTTGCCCACTGCGGAGGTGCGGCCAGAGGGTGCCTGGGCTTCCGCAGGCCACGCACGGCACCAGCGCGATACCGCATAACTCTGTTCCCGTGTGTGTGACGGTGAGCCTTCTGCCCCGTGGAGAGGCTGAGAGGCCAGCGCCTCGTCCGCCAACATGCCGTCTGTGAAGGGACAGTGGGGTGGAGGGCAGTGGGCAGGGGAGAATGCGCCTTATTTCAGGTGCACAATCGCACATTCATTTGCATGTTAGAGCATGTCTAACAAGATTCCCGAGCAGTGGAGAATTTAGCAAATCAGAATACAAAGCGAAAATATGGAACGTCAAATCATGCCAATAAAGCTGTTGGGGGAGACTTGTTGAAATCGAAATGCCTTCAGCAGGCACAGAATGCAAACCCCGCTTGCTATCGGCACGGGGAGGGATGCGCGCAGTGGAGGGTCTGCCTCACCTGCAACTCAAAGCCGCAGAGGCCGAGCTCACGGTGGGAGGTGGGGCGAAGGCCTCCTCCCTGCAAAGGGAAGAGCGTTTTGAGAGGGGACCGCATGGCAGCAGGACAGGTGGCATCCTGGAAGCGTTCCGGGAAGCTCTCTGACGCATAAAAGGCAGCAAGGATGGAAGGTTTCCCCACACTTGCACAGGGGTTGGCCACAACTGCATTCTATAATGCATAGGAAGCAGCTGTTTTCTGTGCATGCGGAAGGGAAACCAGCACCTAGGGCTCCTCAGAACGAGCCGAGCGGTGGCCGGCGGTGCTCCCGGGCTGTGCCAGAGGCCAATGCTGCGAGGGGCTGGTGCACAGGCTTCCCTGCCTTGCCATGCCACTGGCTACCCGCCAAGGCAGACACAGCTGTGTGGGGAGCATCATTTGCTTCCTGGAACAGAAAGTGGCTTGGGCAGGAGGGACCGGGTGGTGCTGGCTCCCGCCACCAAGTGCCAGCCCACCCGTGCCGGGGAGCTCGCCGACGTGCGGGGTCCTGGAGGACAGGGCCTGCGATCCAGCTGGGGGCCGGCCTCGCGGCACTCATGTGGTCTCTCCTCCTCGCCCTTTGCAGTGCCGGAGCCTCATACACCAGCACCGGCCAAAGTGGCTCGCGCTGCTCACCAAGTCCTGGGACCCTCCAACTGTTTGCCAGGTATGGAACGACTGCCGACGTCCCGCCCCAAGCGGCCTCCCGCCTGCTCCGCCCAGGCACCTGAGGGGTGCAGGATGGCCAGTCTGGAAAGCGGGTGCCTGAGGGGTGCAGGATGGCCAGTCTGGAAAGCGCCTGCCGCTTTTTAGGAAGGGTGGAGCGGCCTCTCGGCCCCAAGTGGCTTTCCCCGACAGGCTGGAGGGCAACGATCTCCAGAGCTCAGCCCCGCAGCCTGACAAAACAGTTCCCAGTCCCTGGAAGGCTCCCAGGCTGATGGAGAGCAGAAGCCCAGGCAGAGAGGAGGCGCTTGGGCACCAAGCCCGACGCCCCTCCGTCTGCAAAGGCCAGGAGCAGCGAAGTGGAGGGCAGGGGGCAGCTGGAGCCTGCGTCGCGCGTGGCCGGGCCAGGAGGGGAGCCCGAGCCACGCCATTTCAACCAGCTCAGAGCCCCCTGCCCTTCGCCACGGAGGCCTCAGGCAGATGCATCAGGAGGTTCTGCAAGCATCTGGTAGGAGAGGCCACAGGCTTCCCATTTCCACAAAGGGGCTCACCAAGGGCGGGTGGGCGGGCAGGTGGCAGGGCCTGATCGGCCCCGGTGGCTCCCCCTCAACCCCGTGGATGTCCCCCCGTGCCCAACAGGAAGTGGGTGCCTGCAGGCCGGAGAAGCCTCGTCCGGAAGACGCAGCCTGTGCCCAGGGACCCGTGTACTGGTGCTCCAGCCTGATCGCCGCTGAGAAGTGCAAGGTGAGAACTGTCTACTCGGCTGGCCCCACGCCATCGGCCAGGCCCCACAGACGGCCCGGCAATGGTGCAAGAGGGCAGGGTGGGGCTTTGGGCGCCCCCAGGGTCTGTCCACCCCACTGCTTCCCGCAGGTGGACTCACTCCTGCCGGCCAGCCTGGCGACACTGGGCTGCCGGCACACAGAGCCCCCGAGCCCTCCCAGGGGTCTCCTCGGGGCGTGCAGTCGCCTCTCTGCCCAGGATCTCACTGCTCCCTCTGGTCCCTCCTCCCAGGCGGTTCAGCACTGCCGGGCCCACGTGTGGCTGTGACCAACTGGCGCGGATCCGGCCACCTTCACGGAAGGGGCCCAGGCCTCTCCTTCCTCGCAGTTACCGAGACGCGTCCTGCTGCCTGCATCCCAGGGTGGGCCTGAGTGCTCAGGCGCCCCCCCCCACACACACCTGGCACCCCCCAAATGTTTTGGACTGCGGCTCCCATGCGGCCCAGCCAGGTTGACCAGCAGGTGGAGGATCGGAGCCGTAGCTTGAAATGTGGTGAAGGCTGGCGTGGGGCGAGAGCTGCTCATTCTCTCAGCAATTAAAATTAACCCCCAAACTGTGCTGTGCAGTCTCTTCCTTGCATGAGCCGAAACACCACTGTGCTCAGAGCCAGCGGTGGGAAAGGACCGGAAGGGACTGGCGGGTGGATGCTCTGGGAATGGGGCGCTGCCCTGTCCCCGCAACTTCAAGGCCCCCAAGCTGCTGTTTGCCACAACGGCGCAACTGGCTGGGCCAGGGAGGGGGAAGGCAGCACTTCCAGCAAAAGTATTCAGATGCACATGCGCCCCCAACACAGTTGGTTAAAAAAAAAAACCAAGTACATTTAATGCAGACATAGAGCAAAAACTACTCAACAAAACAGGCGAGCAAACCCACAAGGTTCCCTCCCCTCTCTCCAGCATCAAGGAGACAGCTTCTCCTGACCCCTTTGCCAGGCCGTGGGGAACTGGGGTGAGGGCAGCAGTGCCCGGAGGCATCCAGAAGGCCCGGCTGCCTCCCATCTCACCAGCTCTTCTCCGGCAGGAGCTCAGCCAGATCCGCAGCAACCGGGCCGCACTCGCCAGCCGAGGCGCTCGAGGGACGGAGCCAGCAGGGGGACGAGAGGCCCCTTGAACAAGCAGCTGCGGGTGACCCACGGCTGCAGCCCCCGGCCTGCCGTGCAGGGGTGCGGGTGGCCACAACATCCTGCCTTCATGTCCCAGAGCAGCTCCCGCTCTTGCCTCTCATGCCCCTTCCTGATTGGTCTCCTCTGTGCTATCCCGCCTTTTCCAGATCTGGGGAAAGAAACAAAGCGCCTGCTGCCCAGCCGTGCCCCTTTCCCCGCTCCCTGGGGCCCCCAGCATGCCAGGCCCCGCCCCCAGCCTGCGCACGCACAGGGCGCTGCCTGGCACCAGGGCGCTGCTGGCCCCGCATGCCCACCCTCCGGGAACAGGCACTCCGGACTGCCCCGGCACTCTCCCCCCGGGAGCGGGCGCCCACTCCACTGGCCCGGGGAGCCCTGCTGGCGAGCACGGACCCACCTGGATGTACGCCTCCGAGAGCGTGATCATCTGGGGCAGGATGTCCGTCACCTGCAAGTCCTGCAGCTCGTACCACTTGCCTGTGCCCTGCCGGAGCCACGACAAAGGGGAGAGTGCCGTCACCTGGCCGGCCAGCCGACTGGCCAGGAGTGCAGCGCAGGCAGCCACAGCGGGTCGACCGCGGCTCACCTCGGGCCCAGGCGGACCGGCGCTTCAGCACAGGCCCGAGAGCAGCCGGGGGGCACAGAAGTGCCTCGGAAACACCAGGACAGCCGCACAAAGCCGGGCACGCACCATCGGCCCGTGCAGCGAGGAGGAGAGGCGGTAATGCAAGCCGGCCCCCCGTCACAGGCGGGCGGCAGCCGGCCCACGCTGCCTGCCAAGGACTCACGTGGTGCAGTACATGGATCCTGTAGGCCCCTTCGGCGGGCTTCCCATCATGCACTATGTTAGCAATGAGATCGTAGGTCGTGTTCGTATGCACGGCCTGCACTTCCTCGGACAGGTATTCCCGGAGATCCACGTTCCTGCAGCAAGTGAGGCAGGTCAGAGGTCGTGAGGCGCCGCCTCCTTCCAAAGGGCAGGGGCCGGTCGAATGGCTCGATGAGGCCGCGTGCTCTGCTAAATTTTATTTATTTATTTATTTATTTATTTATTAAAACATTTTTATGCCGCCCCATTCGCCGAAGCCTCGGGGCGGCTTACAACAATAAATAAACGCCCACTTCAGGCGCTCTTGCAGGCGAGGTGGTACGAGCGCACCTGCTGCGAGAACACAGCTCACGTGACGGAACGAACACAAGGGCTTCCACTCAGGAAGGCTCACGTGTCAGGGATGGCGGAGTGCCAGCACCCACTCAGGCGCCGAGAAATCTGCATGATCGCCACCTCCTCTCTATGACGTCCAGAAGAGGGGCGCCCAACCTCTCCTGACGCAAGAGCCAGAGGCAAACGGGGCCGGGTGAGACCGGACAGAGTCAGATCACAGAAGTGCCCGGGGCATCCAGCTGGAAGCTTCCACCGCTGCTAGCCGAGCCTCGGGAGAGTCATCTCAGGTTTGGTGACTCACGAGGAGGCAGCACAGAGGCCGGGAAACCCAACAATGGGGGCACGGGGCAGCTCGGAGAGGCTACTGGCCGAGGCTCCGCTCCCTGCCCTCGAGCCCGGCACCTGCTTGTAGCCACCCAACCGTGTCCCAGAGCAGACGTGCGACGTGGGGAGGGAGCCGGTACCCACGTGATGGGGAAGTTGACAATGGTCGGGTTCTTCTCGACAAAGAAATTGTTCTTGGTGAATCTCTTGATGCAGAAAATGAGGTACGGAGGCAGCTTGGTGAGCTGGAAGCGCTTGAGGAAGTTTTCCTTGTAGGTTTTGTACTCCTGAGGGAAAGCGAGGATCATCTGGAGATATATTTCCACAGGACAGCCAAGCCCAGTCAAGCTGACCCTTGCCCTGCGCTGGATCTCCAAATGTGGACCTGGCAGGATTGGTGCACACACCTCCTCAAACAAAGAGCAGCTCGTCAGAATTGAAGCGCTGGTGGCGCAAGAGGCAATCTCCAACAGAGCACCTGAGGAGCGCTGGCACCGCCCTTCCCCCAAGCACCCTTGCAGCAGGTTGCAGTCTCCAGGGCTGGGCGAGCAGCTGGGAGGGTTGCCCGGGTGGCAGGCCCCGTACCCAAGCCTTGAGTACTCGGGGCCCCACATGGCACGGCTGCTCTCCAGCCCTTCCTGGGGTCTGATCAGAGCCTTGTGGAAGAGCAAGCAAAAAGCACCAGAGGACGGGAGAGAGCAAAGCCCGGGGTTAGCGCTTGTGTTCCTTGAGTCAAAGTGCTTCCCCTCAGCCAAGCCACCCCAGACAGAGGGAGGGCCAGTCAACCAGCCCCCACCCGCGCAGGGAGGCAGGCCTATCCCGGCCACCACTGGGCTAGTTCGCACACTTGCAGACAGGCACCTCGCCTTCCCCAGGCAATCCCCCCGTGCTGGGGAAAGGGTGCCCCTCCGCCCCGCAGAGCGCGTGCTCGCCACTTCCGGCCGGCCAACAGCTCTTTGGCAGGGAGGGAGGGCCGTGATCGGCACGGGGAAGGAGGCAGGCAGGACACCTCCTCCTGTGCACCCCCCACCCCGCTGCAGCCGCGCAGGCCCCGGCGAGCGCTGTCTGGGTTGTGAGGCCGACGGAGCGCACTCTGGGCCAGCACTCCCCGTGAGGCCGTCCCCGCAGCCCCTGAGCTTCCGCAGAAGCAGTCCCGCTTTGGGTTGCGAATGGAGCGGCCTCCAAGCCCGCAGGCCTGAGGGTTGGCAGAGGGCTCGCTCCGCAGGGCGCAGTGCCAGGGTCACTGGCCTGCCGTCTTCATGCTGCTCATGGCCTCAGGTGCAACCCCCTGCTGGAAAGGTGAGAAAAATAGCAGGGGGAGGCATTACCTTCTCTGTGATTCCATTGAACTTGGCCAGGATGTTGAAAAGCGGCACCTGCGGGATGATGAGCTGCTCCTTCTCGTCCTTGTACAGCGGGGCGGTGGGCAGGTCCAGCGTCAGGTACATGAAGGTGGACTCCACCATTTTCTCCTGGTACTCGTCGTTCCGGAGCAGCTGCTCCTTCTCCTCTGCGGGCTGAGAGGGCGCCCGTGAGCAGCACTGACCAGCCAAGCAGCCCCACGGCAGGAGCGGGGGGCTTCGCTGTGGACGTGTGGGGGGCCTTCACGCCCCAATGCATGGCTGAGCGCCCTGGAGAGGGGGAAGTGCTGAGCCTTCGAGCCACTGGACACAAGGGGGGTGGACCCCAGACTCGGCCACCGCTGGATCTTCCCTGCCGAAGGACAGGTTGCCCTTTTTTGCCCTGGGAGGCCCCGAAGCTCTTCCCCTGCCCTTCCTCCACCTGCAAGCAAAAATCCAACCTGCACCCCAAGCTCACCAGATCAGGGTGTGGCAATTTCTTGGTGAAAATCCTCATGGATCCTTGGAAGACATCTGTCACGATGGCTGCAGTCAGACAGGGCAGGACAAGCACAATTCATTCATAGCCCAGAGAACTTCCCCAGGGATGCTTGCTCTTTTATTCTAATCATCTGTATATCCCAACTGATTTTAAGGATGTTTAAATCAAGTCTCTCTAAGGCAACGAGGGGAATTAAACCAAAGTAATAAAACTGCTAACATAAAACAAAAAGTAAGAAACTTTTTACTACTTTTTTATACTAGGAATATGACATACAACTTTTTATAAGCCCACATAAAGAAAAGATTTCAGCCAAAAGAGACTTTAAAAAGTTCCAGCTCCATCTAAAAATGGGGAAAGAGGGGCCTGCAGGGCCATCTCAGGGGCCTGCAGGGCTGCCTCCACCACCTTCCAGCTTTCAAAAGGGGGGCAGCGTCTCCAACGCTCCGGCTGCCTGCACTGGACAGAGGCCACCCGGGGCCTTACCAGGCCCGCAGCTCTTCCATCTGCCAGCCAAAGCAACCCGGGCCCGATCCACGCGACACCTGCAGGCTGCCGACCTGCAGCCAGCTGCGCTTTAAAGGCAGCTCCATGAAGACAGCGCTGCGGCGTCCGTGCGTGGAAGGAACAGGCCCAGTTGCGGCCACCTCCCCCCGGGTGGGGCCGTGCTTGGTAACAGCCAAGGTTGTCCTTGCCACAACCCCTCCTGACCCCACACAGGTCATGCCGAGCCCAGGCCTCAAGGAGCACGTGGGGCCCTCGGGAGGAGGGCCCATCATCCACATTCACCCACTGGATGGGCTTCATCCTGCCTGCTATGATTTCAGGCCATCATTGAAAACTTCCCTTCGCATGTTGTAAGCTGCCTTGGGGGGGTGCACACCCAAAAGGCAGCGTGCAAGGAAGCTGGAGGCTCACTCACTTTTCTTCTTCTTCTTCGTCCCACCAAGGGCGGAGTGCAAGGCATTCAGGAACCAGGAAAGAAAGTCGACCCCATCACCTGGAAGGAGGGAGACAACGAAAAAGACAAGCCCCTCAGAAGCTGGGGTGGGGGGCACAAAGCTCCCAGGAGTGCCCATGGTCCCGACTCTGTGGCTCAGTGGAAGACAGCCCATCACAGGGCTGAGACTTGCAAGGGGGGGTGCTCAGAGTGACTGCCCCTCCCTTGAAGCATTGCAAGAAATATCCACATCAAAAGTGTAGAGAGCCAGTGTGGTGTCATGGTTAAGAGCGTGGGACTGGGACTCAGACGATCTGGGTTCAAGTCCCCGCTCGGCCATGGAGCCAACTGGGTGACTTTGGGCCAGTCACAGACGCTCAGCCCAACCTACCTCACAGGGTTGTTGTGAGGATAAGATGGAGGAGGAGAAAGATGTAAGCTGCCTTGAGCCCTTTGTAGGAAAAAGGCAGGATATAAACCGAAAAACAAACAAACAAACAAAAGCTTGCAATATTAATGTCGACAACTGCAGGCTTAGAAGCACATTTTGAGTAAGGAATTCTTTTCTCAAAAATATGGGTTGAAACTAACCGTATCTCTTGCTTGCAAGGTATGCGTAAGCAATGCTGTCTGTTTTACAATAACGCAAGGAATAACACTAAGATTAATGAACACTAATTTATGAGAAAGCAGTTATTAGCTAGAACCAAAAAGGCAGAAATAGATTCTGATGCTGAAATGAGGGGCAGGTTCTTACCAGGTCTACATTCCTGCCTGGTGAACTGCCTGCTGAGCAATGAACACACAGCCTGGTACCCAGCCTCTTTTTAAGCTGTTAGGACTAGAAGTCTACGCACAAACGAGGTTTGAAGTTCTATTACCTGTTAAGCTATTGCAATCTGTTTAGAAGAAAAGCAGCACTGAGTGCAAGTTATGTTGTGATGTTACGAGTATATTACTAATAAAAATAAATAAAAGATTGTTTTCCTTTCTAAGCTGTGTTAGTAGAAAACCAGAATTGAATCCACCAAAACCAAATGTTGGTGTACGCTTTGCCTGAAGTCCTGTCACTCAGCTATAGGCAGTTTGTTGGCAGTCAAAGCCTTCCTAAATAGCGAAACAAGTGTTTGGGAACCCCCTGCAAAGGTGAGATCCATAACAGAAAAGGCCCGAAGGGTCGTGTGCAGCGGCTTGCAGTGTTGCTATGACAGGAGATGGGGGAGCGACTGCGAAGCCACCCACAAGTTTCCAGCCTGCCGCCTTTAGCACCCCTCCCACACCAAGCGCCCCCCACACCCTACCTTGCTTTGTGATCTGGAAGTTCTTCTTGCTGCAGAGAACCACGGCCTGCAGCATTTCATGGGGTGAGACGTGCGCTTTGAAATTCCGGGGATTCCACAGCTTCCTCATGAGTTCCCCAAACCTCTGAACCAGCAGAAACATTATGTCCCCTGGAGGACGCTTGATGTTTTTGTAGTTCTCCTCCTCCAGAAAATAATTGCGCAAGGGCGGGACGTTAGAGAGTGCCTAGAACACAAGCGTTGAAGGTGAGAGGCGACGCGCCCACTTCATCCGTGGGCGAGCTCTTCCACTGCCAAGACCTGCAGGCCGTTATCAGAGAATGCTGCAGTGGTACGAGAGCAGCATTTGACCCAGAGCCAAGCCCTGCTAAGCAGCCGGAGGCCGCCGCAAGGGCCTGCAGAACTCCGTCAGTCCCTCCGTGCCAAGGGCCAAACCGCACCGCACCGCACCTGGAGAACAGCGTTGGCATAGTCGTTTGCTTTGATGTTGTTCAGTCCCACGATGCCTGGCAGGTACGTGGTGCCATCGTAGGCTCGGGAGAGTTTGGCCTGCTTGTCCAGGTTGGCAATGTGCTGCTTGGTAAAGGTTGGCTTCAGGACATACTGCAGTGGGAGAGGCCGGAGAGCGTGAGCAGGAGAGGCCACGGCTGGGGCCTCAGCTCAGGCACGGGCACCTTGCTGCGTGCAACTCCCGGCCCCTTTTCAAGGGCAAATCTTAACACACAGCTTTAGGGGAGGGTGACGCACGGCTCCCCACCAGGGCCCTGCGGTGTCAGGAGGCGTGCAGCCAGCCCTTGACGGCGTTCTCTCTTTCCCTTTCCTCTCCATGCTGCAAGGAGGCACCGCATTCTGTGAGACCTCACAGGGGAAAACACAGTTACCAGCACACGCAAGCTTGCAGAGAAGTGTGCTGGAGATCACAGCCAGAGCGGCAGAGAGCACCCCTCCTGCCTCCTTTCATCAGGAAGGCCACATACCGTGATATCCTCAAGGGAAGAGTCGATGATTTCATAGTTGTCTGGCAGACAATAGAACTTCAGGGTGTGGAGGTTGAGGAAGACGTGGTGGCTGAACTGGACACTGTGGATGTAAGCATGGGATTTCAAGCCCCGACCTGGAGAGAAAACAGAAGGCAGGCGAGCTCTGTGAGCAAGAGAGCAGGAGGCGAATCCGTTTGTTAAACGTTTATTACACCCACCAGCCAAAGCACTGGGCCGTTCCAAGTCTTCCCTGAATACTCTAGTAGAGATAAAGGACGTGTGCACAGGGTGCTGAAGCCAAAGTGAAATGACCTGGCACATCAGCAAAGAAGCGAGTTACTGAGGGAGCTACACGGCTCTGCATCCCATTCCTATGAGGAGAGGGGGTGCTGCCAGTGCTGCTGGGTTCCAAACTCTTGCAGGAGCAGGCTGCGGACTCAGGCTGTAAGGGTGCTGCCACGCCGTCCAGGTCAAGCTGCACAGAAGTGAGACGCCCAAAGGAGTGATGGACGAAGGAAGCATGGAGGGTCAGCAGTATTCTCAAGAGAGGGAAGCCTGATTGCTTGGGGAATGGAATGAGCCTGAGAAAAAGGCAGAAGGGGCAGGAAGTGCCACGAGAGAATTTGGAAGGAAGAGGCCCCTGGGAAGCCTGGAGGCTGCTCCAGATGGCCATGGCCCAAAAGGTCCCAAGGGGGAACGGCGGTAAGAGGCCAAGAAGAGAAGAGCAAAGGAGGGGGAGGCCAGGCTGGAACGGCCGAGGGGAAGCTAGATGCTACACATGACAACTGGCTGGTACTCCTGGCCATGCTGGCTGAGGCTGATGGGAATGGAATTCCAAACATCTGGAAGACAACAGAATGGGGAATGCTGCTCTAGACCCTGACGGGAAATCTCCCCATTGCAGCCTCTGCAGTCAGGGCAGTTCCTGATGCCACAGTCCTAAGGGGCAACAAGGACCCTGCTGAGAACCAGGCTGTGCTTCAAAGAGCATCTTGATCAGGCCGGTCCCTTTTGTGACCGCAGCCTTGTGATGGGAGCAAGGAAACAAGAAGCACAACCATCAACCCAGCACCCTGGGAAGGGGCTGCCAGCTCTGCATTTGGTGTGAAGCGACACTGCTAGGCTGTTCCAGGATCGCTTGCCACAGAGGCAGCATTCCCACTGAGCACTACTTTTGAAAAGAAAGTATAACACACAGACGCAAACTCACCCTGGAAATATTTCCCGCATACCAAACAAGCATAGACGTTGATATGTGAAAGCGAGATTGAGCACAGCTTCTCAAAGTCAAAGTCCAGAACACTCCTGCAAGACAGAATAATGCCAAGTAAGTATGAGAGAAGTGCCAGATACCTCTGTGCAACACAATTTTGGAGGCAGCCAGTATTACTGTGCCGAGGACAAGCGCAGGGGATGCGCAGCACAGCTACCAGAATGGAAAGCCCACCGTTCTCAGCGTCTTCTGCACAATGACTGTACCCAAATTCAGCCATCCCAGAAAAGAATATTCTGCCCAGATAAAGTGCTGAGAAGAGGAGAAGGCTGAGCCAGTAAAGAGAACTCCACAAGCCCATGGGCCCAGCCTCCCCCCCGCCGCGATGGCATGCCCCCTCCTTCCCAGAGGCCCACCCGCAACTCTGGAGCAGGCAGCCCGACTCACTCCCCAGCTGCCAGGGGAGCGGAGAGGGCCCCAGCCTCCTGCATCCCAGCTCCAAGGGCCAGGACAGAGACTCCAGACAATGTCATGGCCTTCTAGACTGGCCTCCAGGACTGCGTGCTTAGACACTGCTTATCCCCTAGAAATCCTTTCTAATCATGATGTCATAACTCTGCAGTGAGGTTCCTAGAAGCCACCTGCTCATGCTGCCATCCCCTTGGTCTGCTCTCGCTCCTGGCCAAGAGGTACTGCAGCCTTTTGAGCCATTCCGCCTCTTCTACCAAGAGAGGCAATTTTTCAAAGTCTAGAGAATAAAATGCTTCCTTTCATGTACTACAAATACTGATGTTTCCTATTTACAATTCTTATTTTTTCCTCCTCCTTTCCAAACTGATAAACACTAAGATCTATTCTGGCAGTAGTTTGCCATTCCATTCCATAACTGGGAATCCTTATATACTAAGTTTTACATAACACAATTTATGACCTCAAAGTAATAAGCTAAGTTTAGTTCTGATAGAGAAATCATATTTCATACATTTCAATCATTTATTTATTTATTTATTTATTTATTTATTTATTAAAACATTTTTATGCCGCCCCATTCGCCGAAGCCTCGGGGCGGCTTACAACAAAAAGTTAAAATAACATTTTAAAATATAAACAGTAAAATACAAATATATAATATAAAACATACAATATAAAACAAGCCGCCCTGGCCAAATAAAATTCAATAATATTAACATTTAAAATACTGCTTAAATAAAAAGGTCTTCGCCTGGCGCCGAAAAACAAATAACGACGGCGCCAGGCGGACCTCTCTGGGGAGCGCATTCCATAACTTAGGCACCACCGCTGAGAAAGCCCTCCTCCGAGTAACCACCCTCCTAACTTCTTCCACAGAGGGCTCCCGGAGAAGGGCCTCTCCCGCCGATCTCAGGGGGCAGCTGGGCATATAAGGATGTAAGCGCTCCTTCAGGTAACCAGGACCCAAGCCGTTTAGGGCTTTATAGGTCATTACCAACACCTTGAATTGGGCCCGGACTTCAATGGGAAGCCAGTGAAGCTGACGGAGAACTGGAGTCATGTGAACATAACGTCCAGTCCCCGTCAGCAGCCTGGCAGCTCTATTTTGGACCAATTGAAGTATCCGGACCATCTTCAAGGGTAGCCCCACGTAGAGCACGTTACAGAAGTCCAAACGGGAAGTCACCAACGCATGTGTCACTGTCGCAAGGCAGTCGTTCTCCAGATAGGGGCGCAGCTGATGAATCAGCCGAAGCTGGAGGAAAGCGCTCCTCGCCACTGCTGTTACCTGAGCTTCCAGTGAAAGCTCCGGGTCGAGGAGCACTCCCAAGCTGCGGACCTTGTCCCTAAGAGGGAGTGCAACCCCGTTCAGGACAAGGTTCAATTCACCCTCTCCGAAGCCCGATCCGCCAACCAACAGGACCTCCGTCTTGTCTGGATTGAGCTTCAGTTTATTGGCCCTCATCCAGCCCATTACCTCGGCCAGGCACCGGTTCAGCACAGCCACTGCCTCACCTGGATTGGTGGAAAACGAGAGGTAGAGCTGGGTATCATCAGTGTACTGATGGTTCTGCAGCCCACACCTCCTGATGACCTCTCCCAGCGGTTTCATGTATATGTTGAACAGCAAAGGGGACAAAATGGACCCCTGCGGTACTCCATGGCATAACTGCCATGGCGCAGAGCCATAGTCCCCCAGCACCACCTTCTGGAACCGGCCATTGAGATAGGAGCGGAACCACTGCAAAGCAGTGCCTCTGACCCCCAGTCCCGCAAGCCTATCCAGAAGGATACCATGGTCGATGGTATCGAAAGCCGCTGAGAGGTCCAGAAGAACCAACAGGGACGCACTCCCCCTGTCCTTCTCCCTGCACAGGTCATCATACAGGGCGACCAAGGCAGATTCAGTACCGTACCCGGGTCTGAAGCCGGACTGCAATGGGTCCAGATAATCAGTTTCATCCAAGAGTGCTTGGAGTTGTCCCGCCACCACTCGTTCTAACATCTTGCTCAGAAACGGGATGTTGGCCACTGGTCTATAATTAGTGGCCATCTCTGGATCCAGTGACGCCTTCTTCAGGACCGGTCAGACTACCGCCTCCTTTAAAGGGGCAGGCACCCGACCCTCCCTCAGAGAAGCGTTAACCACTTCCAAAATCCAGGTTCCAATCCCGTGCTTGGAATCATTTATTAACCAAGACGGGCAAGGGTCCAAAAGGCAAGTGGTTGGACGTACTCGCCCAAGCACCTTGTCCACGTCATCGGGCCGCAGTAACTGAAATTCATCCAATAAATCTGGACCAGACGGCAGTGTTGGTGTCTCCTTTGAAACCTCTGAATCAATAGTGGTGTCCAGCTCGTGACGAATCTGAGCGATTTTCTCCCTGAAATGCCTGGCAAAGTCGTCACAGCGGGCCTTTGAGGGTGGAATCAGGTCTTCCTTTGGACCTGGACGAACCAGGCCTTGCACCACTCGAAAGAGCTCCGCCGGATGGCATTGTGAGGAGGCAATGGAAGCGGAAAAGAATCTCTTTTTTGCCGCCCTCACCGCCACAGCATAGGCCCGATAGTGGGCTCTTAAGTGTGTTCGGTCAGATTCATCTCGTGATTTCCTCCACCTTCATTTTCCTCCATCATCCCAAGTGCGGCTGCTGTTGTGTTAATTACTGATGGCTTCAGAACTTACAGCCTATTGGACTAGCCTTCTTTCCAGAAGCAAGACCATTTTCCAGCCTCTGCAGGGGCTCTTTTTTCCATGGTATACTATTTTATGACACTCCCCGCACCCCAGTGGACTCCATGTTGATACTGACTTGTTTATGGTGTCCAAATATGGGCAGTGCCTGCTTCGTCGGTCCTCTGGGTCAAATCTGCCATACTTCACTGCAGTGTGCGACAAGACAAAAAACAAGTTATGAAGTATGTCGCTCCAAAGAATAAACAGGCACACAAAATATCTATAAAGAACGCATGGCATTAGGTAGCTGTACTTTGAAATGTATTTATTTCTTTAGAAGATTTATCAGGTTGTAGCCCTGTATAATGTACCTGGGAGCAAGTTCCATGACACGCAATAGGCTTACTTCTGTGTAGGAGGGTCTAGGACTGCACTGATCACTGTTTTTGTGTTAACAAAGTAACACACAAGGTGAGAGGATCAGAAAAAAGGGCAAACAAATTTAGGAGACACAACTGGTAAAACAACATGAGAACCCACCAATGTGCTACAATTCCCACTGCAAACTTTTCTAAGAAGGCCTTAAAGGAAACAGATTACTCCTACTCCCCCTTCTGGGGACAGGGAACAGAAATGAAAGTGGACTTCTCACAGCAGTCAGCCAGCAGACTTCAACATGGAACTGTGGAAGTATACCAGCTCAGGAGGGCAGTCGTCCAGGAACCCGAGCCAATGCAATGGCTGCCAAGAACCAGTGTGACATAGCGGTTCAGGTGGCTGAGCCTTGGGGTATCTGGGCTCTATTCCCCGCTTTGTCATGAAGTTCATCTAGTGTCTTAGTGCCAGCCAATCTAACCCACCTCACAGGGTTGCTCTGAGGATAAAATGGACAAGATCACCCTGTTAAGCTACCCTAAGTAGCTTAACCTATGGAATTCACTCCCCAAAGAGGTCCGCCTGGCACCGTCGTTACTGGTTTTTCGGCGCCAGGTAAAGACCTTTTTATTTAAACATCATTTCAATTGTTAAAACATATGATCTGGCCTGGGCAACTTCTTCTTCCTTCTCTTTCTCATCCTATATTTTTATTTTATACTGATAATTTTAATTTTGTATTTGTAAATCAATGTATTTTTTGTATTTTTATATTTAATGGTAATTTATTATGTACTATTGTATTTCAATGTATTTTATCATGTTGTAAGCCGCCCCGAGGTTTCGGCAAGGGGCGGCATAGAAATGTTATAATAATAATAATAATCATAATCATCATCATCATGTCTTTTGCAAGAGACATGATGGCAGGATATAAATGTAGCATTTATTTTAATTCATCAAAGAGTCAAACTATGTGATACTAGAAAATACTGACAAAAGCTCAGGAGTTCCTGCTTAAACATTCGGCTCAAGAAGGAGTTGTACATAATTCAAAAGTACATGTCATATTTTAATATGAAAGTACCATCCTACAGAGTTCTTGCAGCAAAACCATTAAGGCAGCTGAGACTGTCAGTTTCAAACAAAAACTGTGTAGTACCAAATGGAGGTGAAAGAAGGTGAGAGTCATTCTCGATTAAATGACAAATTGGCACACTATACCCTGGAATCAAGGCATGCCATCAACATGAGCTGCCTTTCTAATTTATGAAATACTTAACAGTTTGTTATGGTTAATCACACAACCAAATATCGTGGCAAATTAATCGGCTGCAATCTGTGAAGGACTGTATCTCAGTGCCTTGGCATATGCTTCTGACAAAGAAGGTTTCAGATTCAACTTGCAGCATCTCAAGCTATTGCTAGAAAGACTCATCTCAAAGGTAGGCAATCTGCTTCCAATCAGTGTGGACAATTCTTGGGTTCAAGAACAGCCTGTTTTGCAACAAATACATGGCAAACAAGTATAAATAAGTTGTCAAATTCAGAAATAGCTCCTGTTGTGTCTTGGGGGGTTATTTGTCTGAAGGGTTACTGAACTAAAAGGAAGCTCACTCTGGCCCTTTTACTAGCCAAGGGATCAAGGGCAGGTATGCTCTGGCCTTCCAGGAAGAACAGGAGGGCGACCGACCTAGCCCCTTCATCAGCCAGAGAAAAAGCAGCCAGAACAAACATTCAGGTGGCGCTGCCTGCTGGCACCAGAACTGAAAGGGAGCTGATCAAGCACTACCCACAGGTAAGGTGACTTTTGGTGACCATATTGTGTACATGGGGTCACGCACAGCTTCAGTTTAATCTACTGCATGCTAAAAGCAAGCCCGCCAATCTTACTGAGTGAAAGAAACCGTGCTCCAACTTCCACATTTAATTTTCCCAAGAAGCAAATCTCTCTATACGTATCACCAAGACTGTCACAGAGAAGAAGGTCAAGATCTCTTCTGGTTAATAACAGAGTGCAGAATACGGAATAATCAAGTCAAGCGGTGACAACCCAGATTCAGGCTGGATATCAGGAAAAGCTTCCTCACTGTCAGAGCAATAGGACGGTGGAAGCAGCTGCCTGGGGAGGTGTTGGGCTCTTCCACACTGGGGACATTCAAGGTGAAACTGGGCAGCCGTCTGAGTGGGGAGGTGCAAACTGGTGATCTGCAACAGCGGCCCCTTCCACTCTACTATTTCACGTCGACCCGGGACAGCCACCGACGGAAAGAAGGTCCACAGGCGCGGCGGCCGCCCGCCCTAGCACTGCGCTTGGAGCCCCCCGCCCCCCCGCTGGACCGGCGGGCTTCACATCCCCCCGCAGCCACGCCGCACCGCCGGCACAGAGCGCCGTGGGCGCACGTCCTACCGGCAGGCTCGCTGTCGGCGCCGCCGAGGCCCTCTTCCTCCTCCTCCTCCTCGCCGGGCTCCCGCTTGATAGCGGGTTCGTCGTCGGGCTCCCGCTTCACCCGCACCGGGCCTGCTGCCGTCGCGCGGCCGGACGCGCCTCGAGACGCGCCGCCCCCGCCGCCCGGCTCGGGCTGGGAGCGCCCGGAGAAGGCGCTCCGAGAGGACGGCCGGTGGAAATCCCGCTCCCGCTTCACCCGCACGGACATCGCCGCGGAGATCAGGCGGCGCACGCGCAGAAAGCCTCCGCACCGGGCGCTCCGCTCTGTCGTCACGGAGAAGGCTGCCTGCGCAGCGGCGTCGACGTCTTCCGGAACTGGCTCATGACGTGATCTCTCTGCGACCCGGCGGGCTTTCGGATTGCGGCGCCCGTGGGTCAGGGTTGGTCGATCTCTGCGCATGCGCACCCTCCACGTGTCCGCCTCGGCGCGGAGGGCCTTCCTCCAAGCCACACTGCGTGGCCGCCAGCCGCCCCGTGGCTGCCTCGTGCCAGGTCCCCATGTGCGTAGCGCCGCCGATACCGGCCAGCCCTAAGCACAGGCCTGCCCAGCCCGGGACGGCGAACTACGGCACCCGGCATGACGGCCCAGAGCCCGGGCTGCCTGAGACTGATGGGAGCTTGAGTCCACGACATCTGGGGGCCCCGCGCAGGGGAAGAGCGCCGAGAGAATGAGGCTACTCCGGCCCCGAGGGCCGGCTCTGGCGGCCTTCCTCGCTGCGACGCTGTTCGGCAGCCCGTGGGCACTGCCGGGCCCGATGCGCGGAGTCACAGGCGGACGAGGCGGCTCCGCGGGCGGCGAAGAGCGCCCGGGGCAGCCACGCCTGCTGGGACGCGATGGGACTGGCGCTCCCCGCACGGGCGCAGGGCGCCCGCCAGGCAAACGGCCGGCCCAGTGAGCTGGCCCCGCGCTTGCCCGCCGGCGCCCCCCTCGTGGCGCCGCCCGAGGCTCGCGGGGCCCGGGCGGGGGAGGCTCCGCCGCGGGTGGCCCAAGGGCCCCCGCCCTGCCGGCCGAGCATGCTCACTGGGCGCGCGCGAGGGCGGAGCGGGGCTCCTGGGGCGGGCGCAAGTACCCGCCGCCCCTGCGGACGGCGAAGCCGCGGCTCGCTCGGCGCAGCTGCGGGGCCGGGACGCGCCTCGGCCAGGAAGCGGGCGGCGCCGGCTCCTCCTCCTCTGCGCCTGGCCTGGCCACGGGCTGCGGAGGCTGAGCAGGGGGCGCCCATGGACGCGGAGCGCGGCAGCCCGGCTTGGGGCGGCTGCCGGCCGGGGGGGCGCCTGGACATGAGCCACGGCTTCGTGCGCCACATCCGGCGCAATCAGATCGCCAGGTACGGCCCCGGCGGATCGCCGATGCGCGCGGAATCCGCCTTCCTTCCGGGGCGGGGGTCGCGGGTGCCCCCGCCCTCTGGCTGGCCGCCCACTGGGGCGGCCCCCCCCCCCCCCCCCCCCCCGCCTCCCCGGCCGCGCTCTGCTGGCAAGCCCGGCAGATCTTCCGTGCCGCCTATCGGAGCTCGGCCCCCCCCCCCCCCCGTAGCAACGCTATCTCCATGCCAGAAAGCGGCGCCCCCTTTCCGGTTATAAGCATTACCGGCTGCTGTTGAGCGTGGAGGACGGGGAGCCAGGATATCCGGTTCCAGTCCTCACCGATCCCCAAAGCTGGCTGCTCAGTCACCCGCTCTCAGCCTGACCTACCTCAAAGGGTTGTTTTTAGGATAAAATAAGCGGCCTTTGGTTCGTCACAAGAGGTAAAAAGGCAGAATATAAATGCAGTGCGATAATAGAACGCAGGGGCGCCTCCCCTGCAAGCTCATCGGGTTCATGCGACAGTCGGTGCTTTTGCTAAAGCCAGAAAGTACAGACAATAAAATGTGGTTGGGAGCTGTTCAATAGGCATGTTGCCAGGCCGTGTATTTTACTAAAAATGTTATGGTGCCCAAGTCATTGAACGAGGCCTCCTACCGAGTAAATGAACAGTATACAATGCAGACTGACCTCAACCTAATGGCACAGTCCTTTAAATGCATCCCAACAGCAACATTCTGATTTAATAAATGAAAGCATTGTGGCGGGTCAGGGAAGGAGGAATTGGGTTCATTATTGGAACCAGTGTGTGGGAAAGGGAGGTTGAAGTGTTTTGCTCGCAACCCTGAGAGTTCCTTACGCACACAGTGTGAATTGGTGCTGGTAGGACCGTTTTTCTACACTGCTACAGTTTGTCAAGATTCCAGCCGGCAAGGGAAGACGGAATAACATGAAGATGCAGTCCAGTCTCCATTTTGGGCTTCAGGCACAGCTGCTGCCACCACTAATGTGTGCACTTATCTGCTTTTAGTACTAAAAGTTGAGCTTGCTTATTTATTTTAAGTTTTTGTATGCTGTCCAATACCACAGTCTCAGGACTGCTTTCAAAATACAATGTACCAACAAATAACACATTGTATCCGACCATTAGTGATAAAATCGAAGATAAAACCAATTAACTATTAACATGTCAGGAAAATAAAAAGGGTTTTGCCTGATGCGGAAAAGAAAGCTTACTCTATGTTTTAGTTTACGTTTGTGTTTTTATAAACTTGTGAAGTGTTTTATAAGGGCAATGTGCTCTGAATGATGGGTTAAAAATCTCTTAAAAGGAGTAAGGCCACAATCCTACGCACAGCGGATGTTAGCCCCCCCCCCCCCAATTCCCAGCATTCCCAATAGGCCGTGCTTCAAAGGGCTGGCCACAAATTGCAGGACTTCCCCCGTCTAAGCATGCCTGGGACTGTGCTTGCAATTGCTTCCGTTCTGAACACAGGGTGCCCACCGATGCATCCATTCCTCCTTTTAACTCTGCTCTGTAAGAGCAAAGGCAACATTTATGGCTAAACTTGCCTGAGATATTTTGGTTGGCATTCTCAGCCAACAGATTCCTTCTGTTTTCAGACCAGTAAAGCGTTTGCACGGGAGGGGAGGAGCTGTTTGGGTACCCTGGCGTACCAAATGGCATGACCCCCAGCAAGCTAGCCTTGCTCTGGCTCCCCCAAAGTCTTGCACTGAAGGCCTGTATTGTGCTCACGTTCCTTCCCAGGGATGACTATGACAAGGAAATGAAGCAGGCGAAGGAGAAGGTGAAGAAGAGGCACACGCCAGCGCCAGCGCGGCCCAGGAAGCCAGACCAGCAGGTCTATCACCCCAGCCGGAGAAGTGAGTCCCGTTCCCAAAGCTCTTGCCTGTCTTCCCGTGTTCCTGTTGAAAGCTGGGGATGTGCTGGCAAAGACTGACGTCTCTTCTCAGGGCCGGATTGATGGTTGTGCTAAGCGCCCCACAGAAAAGGGGCACTACAGAGTATTTTAACAACACTGCAGGGCGAGTGACTTTGACCGGAACTCTCCTCATCTGCGGGGGCAGTGAGAAAAGCGGCCGCTTCCCCAGGATTTCCTCTGTGCTTTTCAGGTAAAGCGGAAACCACAGCCGCCATTGAGTACGAGGGGTCCAGTGAGAGCAGTTCCAGTACGGAGCCAGACCCCAGTGGGCCGGCGCTCTTCTGCCTGGAATATGAGGCCGACAGCGGCTTGGTCACCTCCGTGGTTGTGCACCAGGTATGAGACTTCCGGGGGCGCCACAGGCGACCAGCGGTCTGGACTCCTGTGTGACTGCCGGGGCAAGAGGCTGCGCGCTCTTGCTAGAACTCGCAGGGGTGTGGCACATGCAGGGCGCCAGAGAGGAACGAGCACGACCCATGGCTGCCACAGTTCCCCCTCGAAGGGGCATCACTCAGTCACGCGTTATTTCCCAGCACCTGTCTTTCATGTTTGTTCCTCTCATTAAAGAGCTGGCCTGGGGCATAATTTCTGACTTGGGGGGCTCTCAGAGTGCCAGTCCATCCAGTGTGGATTGACAGATCCTTTCGGATTCAGCCTGGGGGAAGGGGTGATCCATGGGGCGGTCGGGGGAGTACTGAGCGTGCCTGGCCTTCCTGTGCTGTTTGCCGGCGTGTCCTGGTCGTGCCGCCGTTTGTCGCGTCTGCCGTTCATCCCTTCCCTGCCAGGGAGCTGTAGTTTTGCATCGCATTTTTGCTGCTAAGGTGCATTTGCAAATTGGCTCCAGCCAGCGAATCCAGGGCTGGGAGTTTGCATGGGGAAGGCTCAGGGAGATTGTGTGGGTTTCATTTCTGAAATTTTCCTGCTGGTTAATCATCCCCTGTGCAGGGCGAGGTGCGTTGCTGCATCCTCTCTCAACAGGCTCTACTTCTCTGTACAGGATAACGACCCAGACGAGGTGGTGGAGAAAGTCAGTGCCCAGAACCACCTGGACCCGGCTATGCGCGAGGCCCTGAGGCAGAGGATTCAGGAGGAGCTGGAGAAGCGGCGTGTGAAGCGCTGAGGACTGCAGAGGCGCCTGCGCCGTTTGCCGGCTTGGCAGTACTTTGGGGAACTTGTCCTGTGGTTGCTGGCTTGGGACCCCCGGGAGGGTCAGGGTAGTCGCGGAACCCTGTCCCTGGCAAAAGGTCCACCAGTGTGATGGCTGAGACACAGTTGCCCGTGCCCAAAATGAGGGTTGGAGGGAGCAGTGGATTATTTCGGTTGAGTCTGTTTAAGAGAGTACCAAGGAGTATTAGTGCAGCCAAGACCTCCCCAAGACTCCGGTAGCCTCTTGCCCTTCTTAGTAGCCAGCTGCTGCCTCTCTTGTCTTTCGCCATCAGACGAAGGCAGACACATCACTGTGGCTCCGCAACTTTCCTGCCAATAAAAGGTGCCCAGACCAAGCCCCCAGCACCGAGGGGAGCTCTTGGCACGTGCTGCCGGGGCCGGGGCCTGCAGGGGCGCTGTCCCCCTGCATCACCGAGCGAGGGCACCTGTGAGGAGCCACCGTTGGCACAGGGGCGGCTGGTGCCCCAAGCCTTGCATTAGTTACTCTGCAGTCTCCCCCTTTCGGATCAGCTGGTAGACCATCGCAAGGCAGGCTGCCTGCCTTGACTGGCAACATCTTGTTGGCTTTTTAAGGCCATGAAGCATTGGGCACTGGCTGGGATCTTTGGGGTCTCCAGGGCTGCTGTGCTTTACTCTTCTTGATAAAAAAGTGTTTTCCAAACAATGGCACATTGTTGTAAATAAACATGCAGCTTGCTCCTTTGTTGCCTGGCGTTTGCTCTGAGTGATTCCCTCGTTGTTCCTGCCGTGGAATGGGCAGCTCCGTCCTGCTTCGTGGGCATCCTGGCACCATTCTTTCCACATCCCATGAGCTGCCCCGCTTTGCTCGACAGTCCGGGAATGCCTTATTTCTGGGTTGTTAGTTGTGACAGCCAAACCCAGAGCAATGGAGTGATGAGGGTTAAACAACCCATAGTCTGAACCCCTCTGCAACTTAGAGTCTGGTCCAGACTTAATAAAGGACCAAGGAATAGGATATTACACACCCCACCAATTCATTTGCGGCAAACCAGATCCGGCAAAAGGCGCAGACGTACCCACTGAGGCAGAGCTGGCACTGGCTGCATTCATGGGCACCGGGGGGGCTCGGGCTGTACGTGGCCCCAACCCGCCCCCCCCCGTTGCCTGGGCAGGGGCCCTTGCCCAGCCCCTGCCCACGCACCTGCAAGGTGAGCTGCCCGCCGAGGCACCGTCGCGCCCCGCGGGAGGCGCTGGCCTTCCTCGGGCCCCTCGCGGCTGCCGCGCCAGGCACGTACAAGGGCCGCCGCGGGGCCAGCCCGTCGCCGTCCATCGGGGGCCCTCACGCCTCGTGCCGGATCCGGGGCGGGCGGCGGGGCCGCTGGGGCGCCCTCGGGCCCTGCCGGGGGGCCCGGAGGGGCGAGCCCGGCTCTTCCCCCGCGACGGCCGGGCAGTCGGACGGCCTTCCCGCCGCACCGGACCCGGCGGCCCGCGGCGCTGCCCCCTCCCCGCGCGATGCGGAGGAGCCCGGGCGGCCGTCGGGGGGCCGGCGCGGGAGCGGGGCGAGCAGCCCGGCGGGCGCCCAGAGCGCTGCCGGGAAAGTCGGGGGGCGGCCGGACTCCATTTCCCGACTTCCCCCGCGCGCCCCGCCCCCCCGGGCTCGCGCGGGGAGCCCTGGCTCGTCGCCCGGTGGGCTGCTGGGGAAGGGGCGAGGCCGCGCCGGCCCTTTAAAGGCCTGCGGGGGGCGGCGGCGGCGGCGGCGGCGCTCCTCGTCGGAACCGGTAAGAGCGCGGCGCGCCCCGCCAGCCCCGGGGCTCCGCGCGGCCCCTGCCCGGCCGTCCGCCGGCGAGCAGCGCGCCGAGCTGCCCCTGGCGAATGACCGCCTGCTGGCACGCGCCGGGCCGCTCCGCGCCTTGCCGGCGTCCCCAGGCGGCTCCTGGGGTCGCGGCGCGGCGTCCGACGGAGCGGGCGGGCGTCGATCCGGGCGGCGGGAGCGGGTCGCCGCGTCCTCTGCCGCCATCGGCCGCGCAGGAAGCCGGCGTGCGCCCCCGTGAGCCCCTCCCGGCCGGGCGCCCCTGCTCCCGCGTGCTGCGGGGGCCTCGCGGAGGCGGCGGCGCCGGGGCTGCGGGCCGGATCGCCGGCCACGAGCCCGCCTTCGCCGCTCCGCAGCCTTGGTCCGCCGCCGCGGCTCC